ATGATGATGGCAACAAATATACAAATGTGCTTGACACAATGGATGGATGATGGATTGTGATAAGAGTTGTACGAGCCCCCAATAAAATGATTTAAAAAAGAAAAGAGTCAACTTAGATTAAGACCTTATATCCTTTCCAGACATGTCTAAGTAATACTAAGCTGGTTGGCCAGTGACTAAAATATATGTTCCAAGTGCTAGAGGACCCAAATGTGAAGTGTCCAACAGTGAACATGGGACAATATATACAACTGACAATTACAGCTCATCTACTTCATGCCTGGTGTTATATAATTGAATATATGTATATGGGTGCACCTATATAAGTGTGACTGTGTGCCTGTGGTATATGTATTTATGGTAAATATGTACCATAAATGTTAGATTATTTTTTCTCTTCTAATAATTATATTATTTTTTCTTCTAATGGTTAAGCTGCATAGAAAACTACTTCTCTGGAAAATAAACTGGGGAGTAGAGACCGCTTTTCTATAAATGCAAGAATTGTTTTCTTATAACACTGCACATAGAAATCAATTGTTATCAAGGGACTACGTTTTTTTCCAGCCTTGATGAGAACCAGTTGCACACATGGAAGTATGGAGTGGAAGATTCAAAGGGAAGACTAAGGTTTCAGGCTGATCTGCCTCAACTTTAGAGAAATTCCCTTTCCAGTAGAAGTTAAAGCACAAATTAGAAGTCAGATAGATAAGCATCTACTTTGGCAACACAATTCTATGAATTACAGACATCTTCTCTCCACAAGTCTCTTTAAGGTGTGTCCTAGATTGACATTTTTCAGGGAATCAATTTATTTATAAAGACTACAAGGCCACTCAACCATTTACACATCCACATGGGCCCAACAAAGCATAGCAACCTCCTTTGTTAAAATGGAAACAAGAGAAATTTAGGTTCAAAATCACATTCATTTATTCAACAGGAATTTATTGAACAAGTACTAGGAAAAGTAAATAGAAAACTGAACATGACAATATCCCTTCCCATTATGGAAGTCACAGAATGGAAAAGTGTAACTGACTCCCTGGAAAACAACTGCCCTTTAAAACATGCTTAGGTCTTCATTCAACTTGCTACGTAGACTTCAATCAAATAAAGACATCATCTGAAATACTGTGATGTCAGTTTGAACAACAACAATAAAACTCTACCTTTGAAAAACATTAAATATAGAGGAGATAATAAGATATAAGTAAATATAAAGATCCTTTAAATTTTCTCTAGAAATACAAGTACATTCAATATCAGTGAACCTCAGAGTAAAACTGGAGATCCGAGATGCCTCCTGAACCTAAAATTTTCCAAAAGACCCATAACTTTTTCCTTCCATTCTACTTAAAGTTAATTATTATATCTAAAGTAATATATACAGAATTCCTTGCATAGCCAACACGGGAGAGGAGAGAAGGAGTGAATTTAAAACTGAGTCAGGGATCTTGGTTTCTTGATACAGTTCAAAACCAATATAAAAGATATTAATTTTAAGATTATCTACTCCTTTGTATTATGTGTAGCTCCTTTCTTCCTCTCTTAGTGAAAAGGCTGAATTGTCTGTGCATTTGCTTGATTCCATTGAGAGGCCTGCATCACCAATTGGAGAAATCAATCATGCCTTTAAGATTAGTCTCTACTAAAAGCCTGCAATGAAATGATAATGTACTAACCTGTCTCCAGTTAATGGCAAAATAACGGATGCTTGTGAAGAAAACACAACGAAAGAGACTCTCATTTGAGGGCTGCAAAATAAGGAAAGAGGTGGTTAAGACATTTTTGAAAGAGATATTGATGCTAAACAGATACATAGCTAGGGCATCTCATTTTAAATTGGTCTCAATGACTGGTCCAGGCTTCTTCAAATGGAACTCTCTAAGTAAATTCAGTAACTGCTTAACATTACTGTATACTTCATTTTGGATTTAGTCAGTGCTTCCAAAATGCCCTGCTCCATGGCCCACAGCAATTTGGACTTAGGAGGAGACTGTCAAGTATGACAAAGCAGAGGTGGTGTCAAGCGTCACACATTGTGCTGCTCTCTGCAAAGTCAACAGTTCAACAGCCCCCACCCCACCCCCACCCCAGCCCCAGTTGCTTCTCAAAAGAAATGCTATGCTGCTGTAAAGATTTACAACCTGGAAAACCCACAGGGGCAGTTCTACTTGGTCCTATATGGTCATTATGAGTTCGAATTGGCTCAATGGCGGTGAGCCTTTTGGTTATAGGCTATGTTAAGCTTAACTCTTCATGGGAGCAGAACACCACGTCTCCCTCTTTTCCTACAGAGCTCTTGGTAAGTCTAATCAATCAACATTCCAATTAGCAACTAAGGACTGAACCATTGTACCACCAGGGGTCCTTAAGTAGAATGATAAGTTTGAGGTCAATGTAAAATGATTTTGTAGAAAAATGTTTCCTCCTTTGGTGTTTCTCAAAGAAGGGTAGATCCTACGGCATAGTTCGCATCAGCAATATTTAGAGCCAAAGAGCAGCTTAATTGCGTAAATATCAAAATTATGACATGAATCCAGGCAAACATCATCTTGAAATAAGAATATTTAAGAAAACTTAAATTTTAGAATAAATATTGATTACGTAGTTTCCATTTCCCAAAGTTTCGACCATAAAATATTTCCAATTGGCATCAGTGGCCACCTTCAGCAACATCTCTCAAGCTTTGGGACATATATCACGCACAAAGGTTCTTGTTTCTAGGGCACGTGATGCAACCATTTACAAAGTTATAAAACTAAAACTGAAGATCAGACACTACACCAAAGATTAGAATTATCTCCTATAAATTTTACAAGATATTTTTTATGTAGTGGCCTCTTAAATATGTTGTTAGGACCCAAATCAATTAAACTTGAGCCAGACAACTGGGCATGTCAGAACTCCAATTTGCAAGCCAGATTAAGGAAAGAAGAACTCAGCTTCCGCAGAGGTGGTGTTGGAATAATCCACTGCTTAGGATCACAACCTGTGTGATCTTCCTCAGACATGCTTGGATTAAATCAGGAAATTAATAATCTGTCCCTTCTTGCCTTTGATATGTCTTGTTTATTTTTCCTTTTCTAGAGAATTTTACCTAAGACCATATCCAGAAATGCTACATGTGTCTTCCTAAGTAGAAGGCTGATGTCTGAACATGGACAAGCATACATTTTTTTATAGGGACAAGTTTATTGTTGCCAATAACTGAAAGCTAGAATTGCCTAGGTCTCTACAGATTGCTTGAAGTTACTTGCAACATGACATTCAAAATGTTTTGATCAAACAAGCCTGTTTTATAGAAAACATTTGTGCTAACATAACTGAAGGAAGCAATATTGAATGATGTAATTCTTATTTGTGTCTTCCCATTATCTTGATAAATTTATATTTGCTCTTTGTACTTTTTTCTACTTAAAAAACAAAACAAAACAAAAAAACCTCAAATTCTAGGTTCCCAGAGGTATTTTTAAATAAAAGACACCACTAATTCCTAGTTGTCCCTAAATTAGAGAGTAACTTGGATTTCATAGCAGTTATGACTTTTAGGCTCTTTTTTTTTAGGTTTACTGTATATTTACCAAAAAACCAATAACCCATTGTCGTCAAGTCAATTCAGACTCAGAGTGGCCTATAGGACTACGTCCAGAGGGTTTCCGAATCTTTATGGAAGCAAACATCTCCTACGGAATGGCTGGTGGATTTGAACTGCTCACCTTTCAATTAGCAGCCAAGTGTGTAACCACTGTGCCACAAGGGCTCCCTATTGCATATATAGAACAGTTAAATTCTAAACCAGCCACGCACCCACACATTGTGTAAACACAAGTCACTTCTTTAAACACACACACACACACTGCCTTTTCTGGTAGTGGGATATTAGCCCATGCTCATTTGAAATTTTTCCAACACTTTTTTTATGAGGATCTCTAGAATAGGATGAATTGTGTGGAAATTATATTATGGGGACTATTAGCATAAAATTTATTTTTTAATGTGATAAATTATGAGAAAGCATAACTGAAATTCAAAACAGATGAAAATTTGGAAAAGACATTTGGAATAGTATTTGAAGATGCTTCCCCAGAACCTGAGCCAAGTTTCTACGATCCATAAGCCGTGGAGGACTCAAAGCCTGTGTGCGCAAAACCAACAGCATGTGTGCCCTCTGCCCATTCTCTGAGCTATGGGTCTCCTTCTTCTCCACCCCAGACGGCCCGGTCTAGAAAAGGAAAGTGGGGAAACATATACTTGACAAATCTCTCCGTGAGCAGCTGGGCAAAATTGTAAATTTCAATCCAGTTATGTGCCACACTCCCAGACCTGAAAAAAGCAATTGAACTGATTAGTAAGACAAGACACAGGCCTGAAACGTAAACATTTCAAACTGATCCCTTCTAGAACACCAGTGGACATGGGGGCAACCTGGCCTGTTTCTCAAGCAAAGTAAAAGTGTCTGTTCTTGCAGTTGAATCTTGGGTGTTAGATGAGGCAAGAAAGTCAGCCCATGTTGGGGAGGCGGGAGGGGGGCGTGTGGTGAGGAGACAACCTGTTTGTTAATTATCTAGAATAGGACATAGCTTTTCAAAGATAAACACAAAATCCTGTCCTAGCAGGAAATGCAAACCACACTGGATATATTAACCTCCGCCTTTTCCAGGCTGACACAAAGTGATAGGATCAGAGGAAAACTTTAGTTTGCCTGGACAGGGGCTGGGGCAGCGCAGAGGATCAAGGGAATGACAAAGAAGGGCAGGCTTGGTTCGTGGGAGTCACACTCCGACTTTCCAAGAGGCTCCACAACTGGCAAGGAGAGGAGACCCTACCACCCCAGAAGCCCAGTGGTCCAGGACACCTGCTACCTCCCATCCTCCTGTCTCATGCCCACCCCTCACAGATCAGGAGCACTGGCCCTTCAGCCAGAAAGAGCCACAGGACACCCACCAGCGAGTTTCCAACACCGTCCCCATGGCGCCCACCCACCCTTCCTCCTGCCCAGCCCCAGCGGACCCAGAGCCGCGCTCCCCAGGAGATCCGGAAGCTCCCCAGGTACTCACTTGTCAAGGACTAAGTACAGATCGAAGGCTCCCTGGCAGGACTGTTGCTCCTGGGCGCTACGAACCCCCCCAGGACCGCTGAGCACCAGCAGCCACAGCCCGGCGACCAGCCAGCTCCCTGGGTTCCGAACCCGAGACCGCCCCGCCACCATCCTGTGGTCCAGGGCCGGCGCCTCCCTCCCGTTCGGCTCCACTCGGCGGGGATGCAGGGCGGCCGAGTGGCCGGAGCCGACCGCGGGCCAGGCGCCTGTAAGCCCCGGGCGAGAGCGCGGGCGCCGGGGACCAGGGACCAGGGACCGCGGGACTGACAGGGGGAGGGAGGGACGGGCGGGGGAGGTCCTTGCAGGACAAAGAGTCACCGCAGCCGCTGCGGCCGGAACTCCGGACGAATCCCAGCGGCAGCGCGGTCCAGCCGTCCCCCGCCCGCCGGATTCCGGAGAGTTCGTGCCGACCTGCAGGGCGCAGGGCGAGCGCCCCGAGCGAGAAGTTCCGCCCCGGCCTGCGGCGCGGCCCCGCGGCCCCACTCCGCCCCGCGAGCTGAGGCCGGGCGCCGGCGTCGCGGCGCACAAACTTGGAGCGCAGACTCGGCGGGCCCTCCCTGGGTGCCGCGGCGCGCGCAGCTGCGCCCCACGACTCCCGCCGCGGTCCGAAAGTACGGGCTGGGCCGGCCCCTCTGGGAGGAGGCGGAGGCGAGAGGGCCTCTGGGCGGAGGGCCGGGGTTCGGTTTGCTCTCCGATTGTCCCCGAGCGCTGAGGACGAGGGCGGGGCCTGAGCGCACAATTGTGGGGTTCTTTTGGAGTGGACGATGCCTGACGCTCGCCAGATTTGGGAGCAAGGAACAGGAATGTCGATAAACAAATGTCCCCGGGAAACTAAACCTACGCTTCTGCCCTGCGGGCCTGGCCTATTTTGGGAACAGTGGAGTTTCGAGGCCCAATACTAGCGATTCCCTGGGACGTGATGGCCTCCTATCCCCCCCCACCCCACCTCACCCCAAGACCCTGAAAGAGAGGGTAGTACCGGCCCTGTGGGTTTCTGAGACTGTAACTCTACCAGGCAGCCCTGTCTGTGGAGGAGAACTTTACTCTTTGAAAGAAAAAGAAGGGAGGGAGAAAGAGAGGATTTTTTTTTTTTTTTGGTAGCTTCAAATCACTCAGGCCTAGAAGAAAAAGGAGGTAGAGACTGGGGAGCAGGGATGAGCCTCTTTAGCGGTGGAAAGTTGTCAGTCAAATTTCATTCCCACTGTTAACCCAAGCGCCAGCGAGGAAGGCTTCCATCTAGGGGCAAACTAGGCCTCTCATGAAAACTGGGTGCTGGAGCTGAAGTTAGCTTGCAAGTTCTCTGCTGATGCTGTCTGCACCCACCCCACTCCCTTCCCCAACATCTCCACTTACGGCTTTCGCCATCCCCTGGTCAAAAGAGGCTTTTAGAATGTACGATCTCACTGGTACAGCAGTGGTGGAAGCTGCTTTGAAATGCCACCTTTTGATGTTCACAAAGTCAGTGCTTGATGATCAAAGTTCACTATGTTCTTTTTAGCAACACACACACACACACACACACACACACACACACGGGCTGTGAGCTGCAATGTCAGCCTTTTGATGTTCACAAAGTCAGTGCTTGATGATCAAAGTTCACTATGTTCTTTTTAGCAACACACACACACACACACATAAACACACACACACACACACACACACACGGGCTGTGAGCTGCAATGTCAGCAGTTCAAAGCCACTAGCCAAACCACTAGCACTCCACAGGAGAAAGACAGGCTCCTCTCCTCCCACAAAGAACGATAGTCTCAGAAATGCATAGGAGCAGTTGTACCCCGCCTTCCAGGGTCTCTGGATGGCAGTGAGTTTTTGTTTGTTTGTATGACCCATGCTACAAAATCAGATTGGTTACCTCTTGGAGGGTAGAAACCAGTCACTTTAACAAAGATTTCTAGAGTGTCTACTCTGGGCCAGGCTTTGTCGTAGGAGTCTCCTTTCACATACAGAAGGAGAAAAGGGAAATTGTCTTCTTTTCTGATGTTTGAGGAGAATTTTTTTAAAAAGAAGATAGGAAATAGATGAACAAATAAGAAAAATGCCTGATAATGGAAGGTGTTTTGTAGAGATTTAAATAATAGTAACATGAGAGCACGCACTGCCCCTATGGGTTTTCATGGCTATAAATCTTTTTTTTTTAAATAAATCACTCTATTGGAGGCTTTTACAGCTCTTATAACAATCCATACATCAGTTGTATCAAGCACATTTGTAGATAGGTTGCCATCATCATTTTCAAAAGATTTTCTTTCTACTTGAGCCCTTAACTCCTTTTTTCCCTCCCTCACCCACCCTCGTGAACCTTTAATAAATTATTGTTATTTTCATATCTTTTTAAAAAATACTATTGGGGGCTTGTACAACACATCACAATCCATACATCCATCCATTGTGTCAAGCACATTTGTACATTTGTTGCCATCATCATTCTCAAAACACCATCCCTTGAATCCCTTCACATTTCTGTTGTTCATAGGCCTGGACAGGGCATGGGTGGGGAGGGAGGGGTAGGAGGCAGTTATAAGTCGATCCTTGTCATTGGTTCCTCCTTTCTCCACCTTCTCCCCCCACCTTCCCCCTACCCACTTGGTATCTGTTACTCCCATTTCTGTTCCTGAGGGGGTTTATCTTTCCTGGATTCCAAGTGTCCAGAGCTCTTATCTGTATCCTGTGCATTCTCTAGTCTAGCCAGATTTATAAGGTAGAACTGGAGTCATGATAGTCAGGGCAGGAAGCGTGGTGGGGGGGGGGCGCGGCATTAAAGAACTAGAGGAATGTTGTGTGTATACTGCACCCTGGCTGACTCATCCCTTCCTTGTGACCCTACTGTGAGGGGATGTGCAATTGTCTACTTGGGTCTCCACTCTGACCCACCTAGTTCACATCAATATGATTATTTGTTTTGGTTCTTCTGATACCTGATCCTGTTGACAGCTTGTGATCACACAAGCTGGTATGCTTCTTCCATGTGGGCCTTGTTGCTTCACTGATAGATGGCTGCTTATTTAACTTCAAGCCTTAAAACCCCAGATGCTATATCTTGTAATAGCCGGTCACCATCAGCTTTCTTCACCACATTTGCTTATGCACCCATTTTGTGTTCAGCCATCATGTCAGGAAGGTGAGCGTCACAGAATGCCAGATTTTTAGAACAAAGTGATCTTGCATTGAGGAAGGACTTGAGTAGAGGCCTAAGGTCCCTTCTGCCACCTTAGCACTTAACATATAAATATATGTACCTAGATTTATACTCCTATTGTTATATATTAATATATTTACATATATGCATGCCTATATTTAGACCTCTATAAATGTCTTTTGCCTCCGACTTCTTTCCAATATTTTCTTTTACTTTCCTCCTGTCCCATTACCCTGTTCGACCTTCATTCGGACTACAAATCTTTATGTGAGCAGAAAGACTCCTATTTCTCCCATAGAGCAGCAGGTGGTTTTAAATGGCTAACCTTTCTGTGAGCAGCCCTATTTAAAAGCTGCTATACCACCATGCTCCCTCATAAAGTAAGTATTTCAACAGTAACCCAAATCACCTGAAAAGGGGGAGGGAAAATGTAATTTTTTTACCTAAATAGAGCCATCTAAAATCTCTCTTGTTGTTAAGTACGGTTTGATACTTGCTTCAAAGTTGAATGTCAAACAAGGGTTCAGTAGAGCTGTTTTAACTGTTGCTGTTGTTATTGTTAGGTGCCATCGAGTCGATTCCAGCCCTGTGCACAACAAACAAAACACGGCCTGGTCCTAACCCGTCTTCCCAATTGTTCATAAACCTAAGCCCACTGTTGCAGCCACTGTGTCAATCCATCTCTTTAAGGGCTTTCCTCTTTTTGTACTTGGTGGCTTGTGTGTTCTGTTATGCTAGAAGCTATGTCATTGGTATTTCAGGAGATGAGACCAGGACCTTGAGAAGGACATTATGCTTGGAAATCAGAGGGAGCAACAAAAAAGGAAAGCCCTTAAAGAGATGGATTGAAAAGTTACTCAGCTGGTCCGAAGGAGACACAACATCTGAATTGTCTCCCTGATAGAGAAGGGAAAATGATGCCCTTGCAAACACTCTTTCATGGCATGGCAAGGTTTCCAAACTTACCCTTATTTTCACCTTTCTTCATTATTGGTTGGGAAGCAGTGAGGCTTCTGCTTATTATAAGAGGACATTGGGCAACAATTATGGGTGATATTTGCAGATCATTCATGTTATTGATTTCAATAAATTGCACAGTAAATATATAATGGATTTCAAATGTTGTTTTTACACATATTTTATAGCAATAAATAAGTCCTAAATTAAAATTTTAATATATTTAAATAATATTCATGCTTCAAGTTCTACTCAAATTATCAAAACACTACTCATTCTTCTGGGCCTATTTCTTATAGCCTCTCCTTCACAGAACATTTTGTGATTTATCCCATTTTACCCCCATAGTCAGGATCCATTTGTCCTTTAACAACTCAGTGGCATCCATGGCAGGCTTTCCTTATTTTATTTGTATTGCATATTTGTGATATATTTCAGTCTTTTGCTAATTTCTTGAGCTTATGGGGTGTAACTTATTATGAGCTTATATTAAAAAAATAAAAACAAACAAACAAAACTGTTGGCTCTCAAGTAAACTCGTTGTTGTTTTGTTGTGAGGTACCTTGAGTTGGTTCAGATCCTCAGCAACCCTATTTACAATAGAAAAAAATACTGCCATATCTTGCACAATCCTCAAAAGTGATCTATGGGTGACCCTACCGTTGCAGCTACTGTGTCGATCCACCCCTCTTTTTTTGCTCACCCATCACTTCACCAAGTATGATGTCATTTCCAGGAAGTGACCACTCCTGATAATATGTTCAGACGTCTCCCCATACTCACTTCTATGACACATTCTGACTGTACTTCCAGACAGTTCTGTTAGATTTCTGACAGTCCACAGTACTTTCAATATGTTTTCCCAACACCATGATTATAATTGATAAATTCTCTTTCAATCTTCCTTATGCATGGTCCAAACTTCACATGAATATGAGAACTGAAAATACCATCACTTAAGTACACCATGGTTCCCAAAGTGAAGTCCTTGCTCTTTGAAGAGACCTTGTAGTCCAGAGCTGAAAAGAAATATGACGTTTGATTTTTGACTGCTGCTTTTATGAACATTGATTG